GAACAAAAATATTAACAACCGAAAAAAAATTAGATTAAAGGTACTATAAGTAAAAGAACATTTTTGTTTTACGTTAAGTTTTGTAGTTTGTATAGCAATACAAAAAAAGATACCTACTGCAAATCATTACTTCKCCAAATTTGTGARAATTATAAATTTATTTTTAATATTTTGATTTTATATTATAAGAATTGCAAGATCTTGTATTATGTTTTCACAACTTTTGATCAAGCAAAACGCAATATAGATGGATAATTATGTCATTACAATTATTTCAAGAAGATCTCATAATAAAAATTTAGTATAGGTTTGAATATTTTAAAATGTTTTTAAGAATAAAATCAACAACTGAAAAACAATATATTAATACAATATCAACTGTTTAAACAATAGGTATTGCAAATTAAATATGCCACTATGTGTCCGTTGTTACCTTTAACAGAATATGTACAATCKACATTGTAGACGTGGCCTAGGAGAACATAAGGCATAGAAAAAAATTGTTTTCGAAAAAACTGATTTTTATCAAAACGTTGAATATCCACTAAATACTTTAAATTTTCATAAATATGTTTATGTTAGTATTTCTATACAATACATTGAATACACGGTCTCGATAATATTACTCTATTGAGACTTAATTCAAATTTCCTCTTAAATTGTATGTGATTCGTCCTTATCGAGCATGAAGTTGTCTGTCGGTTTCCAATCTTGCATCTCGTTGATAAGTTGTTTCAGATGAACGGAATCGAGCTTGGCGTTCTCTGGCGGATTCCAATATTACATGCCTATTCTCGATTGTTTCTGAAGCTTGTGTTGCCATTTTCATTCGTGCTTGAGGCGTACAACTACTGATCGATCTTTTTTGGGAGGCGTAATTTAAGAGGCAAAATATTATACAGACTATGAAGTGCACAGTTAGCAATAATAAATTCAGGGATATATGCTATAATCGCAACTATTTATAAATAAACAAAAATTTCCATCCTAAATCTCAAAATGTCTGTTTGAGCACCTTCCGAGGTTGAGCCTATCACGTTTTAACTTGTTCCATATTCTGCCTACAGGTCTAATATATCTCTGTACCAAATTTCGTCGMAATCGGTTCAGTCGTTTTGGAATTCATAAAGGAGTAACAATCAGACAGAAATCCGTTACTAAAAATATTTAGTATATTTTTTGGCCGAAATTGGGCGCCACTACTGTGATTCTGTTTTTGATTTTTTTTATGAACTTCATACTTTTTTTTTTTATTGACAAAAGTGATACTAAAACCTTCAGCAGAGTGTCGGGTTTCAGCCAAAAAAAATTTCAGCCAAATCGGCTCACTAATTTTCTCGGTTAGCGCGGTCTAAGAAAAACCCTTACAATTTTATATAATAATGTAGATATAGATAACMAGAACATTATCGATACTACTCCCTACTCCTATTTCGTAAACAACGTGTCTAGATTGATAATAAAATTCAAGTATTCCATTGTAATTAATGGTCACAGAAATCAATATATTGCATTTTGATAAACAATGTTTTTCGTTTTGTTTTCTGGTGCAAAAATAAACAACGATGACGGTTTTCCAACACGCGAACTGGCAACGTACAGCTGYCGTGCGAAAAACATGGAAATTCCAAATTGATCCCACAGACTTCCAACGATTGGCCTTGCGATTTATTGATTGTCATCGCAAAAGCCAATCTAACGGGAAACTGAATCCGCTTAAACTGAAATGGAAGATCTGTTGGAATGATCGGAATTCGTGGGATGAGGACTTCCTCCTCTTTGAAATTGCCCTTGATGATCGTTGATTGTATTACATTGTTCATCAGTTTCTTGACGGACAATCGTGTACCATTACACAATTTAGAAGGATTTAGATTCCGCAACATAATTATGATCGATCCCACTTTTACCTGCAAATTATGTGGTGGAGTTCCTGGCACATCAAGTGAGCAAAAATTCTGTCGGATAGTTGACCGCTTCGTTTTCGTCGGTCTCACTGTCAACGGATTTGTATGAACGCAGTTCTCCAGCAATTTTACTCTGAATTGTAAAATTCAAGCTATCGACGTCCTTATTCCTCGCTGCTAGTATTGCCCGTTCACTCATCCAATCAAGATTGTTATAATTGACCTCAATGCTTGGGTACACTTTTGTAATGAGTTCTTCCTTCGACGATGTGAACTCGAAAAAATTTGCCGGAAACGATATTAATCCAGTCAAAACATCAATCGGAATGTGTCCATTACTAAGCGCCAGCAGTTGTCTCGAGAATTCAGCAGCCGATGGGTCGTTTTGCAACGCAACTCTCATGTTCATGGTCAATTTCAACTTCTTGACATGCTGCCACAAAAACGACGATTTTAGGCATGCATTATTTTCATTGGCAGCAGTAGATTTCGAAATGACGGGAAGTGTTTGACGAAAATCTTCGGAGAGCAATATCATTGCCCCACCAAATCGTTTCGAATTACCTCGTAAATCTTTCATCGTTCGGTCAACTGCCTCCAAAGCTAGTTTATGTGCCATYGTGCATTCATCYCAAATKATGATTTTGCATTCTCGCATCAATTTCGCTGTCGCTGAATTCTTGGTCGTTGTGCACGTAGGCTTGTCAACCATAAGAAGATTCATTGGCAGCTTCAAAGCTGAATGTGCAGTTCG